CCACACGATTACCTGGACCCACTGGCCCAAGAATAACCCAACCCAGCGGTGTCTTCACGGCAAATGGCTCTTTTCGACCTCCCAAACGCTGATTTAGCACCCAGTGAGCTTCTGGAACGTCACAGCCAATCAATATACCAACCGATTTAGAAGGAATATCCTCAAAGGGCAATTCTTTCAGGTGACCCCAGCGACTTGCGATTTCCGAGCGTGAATCCACGACTAATGATGGGAGGATTTCAGATACTACTGAAGCACCTTTCACTAAAACAACCTCATCACCGTGAAGTGGACACACCTCGAAACTTCCAGATTCTCCAACTGCTAAACAAGATCCACTGATTGTCTGTATTTCACGCGGCGTTCGATGACTCTCTATGCCGAGTTGGTGCAGCAAGTTATGACATACGATAGTTGTATCGGACCCACTGTCTAAGAAGGCATACGTGATCAGTTCTGCCGAAGGACCTCTCAGACGAACTGGAAGTAGTCCTAGGGAAACAGCCGTCCTGCGGTCAGTCATTGCATTGCTTTTGACTACAGGAACTAACTCTGCTTTTTTATCTAGTGGTTTCGAATGTAGCAGAGCGTGGTGTTTGGCTCGGCATCCATCCGCCCCACATCGATATTGCAGTTGGCAGTCCTTCGCTTTGTGGCCGCCTTCAAGACACCGAAAACAGGCATTGAGAGACCTTAAGGTGGACCATCTTTCCACTGGCTCGAAGGACAGAAAGCGCTCACAGTTGCTGATACGGTGTTCACCACCACAAACCTTACAACTGATCTCGCTCAACAGTGGGGCCTGATCTGAGCAAACGATCGCATGACTCCAAGCGGTTCTGCTCTTGCCTACATCTGTAACAGCTTGGCCACGTACACCTTGGTCCTTCTGCGTAACGGATTCTGCCAGAAGGCCGTAACGACTGCTTAGCACTCTCGCCCTTTGAGTAAGGAACTGTGTGAGGTCGGCGAAGGTTGGCTCTCCCCGATCATGAGTGGTTTGGTAAACGAATTCCGCCCACTTGTGTTGTAAAGTATTGGGCAAGCACCTCACTAACCTATCCAAATTCTCCAGGGAACTCAGTTCTGCACTGTAGTTCATCTGAGTCAGAGCTATTTCGCAACTCTGCATCTTGAAGGCCAACTGAGTCAGATCTCTTGCCTTACACGAGGTAGAACGAAAACATTTAATGAGATCATCTATCAGGGCTCTAGCAACCACATGAGACCTACCGAAAGACTCGTGCAGAATGCGGCGGGCTCGTTCATATCCTTCCGCAGGCTGAAGCAGGAGGCAATCTTCGATAGCCTCCCTGGCTACACCGGAGCACGCGTTTACCAATTGTACTAGCCTCTTTCCCTCGTCTTGGGTCTTGCATTCGACGTAAAGCTCGAATTGACGCATAAACCTCCAATAGCTCCTGGGTTGACCATCAAACTGCATGAGGCCGATTTTAGGCAACTCCAGGCCCTCTATAATGGATTCCAGATGACGGAAGTCACCTAATCCATTATGCTGTCGTTCTCCTACTCCGAGACTATGTCGATTTTCAGAGTTCAATGGCGTTACCATCTTTCTGCAATCTTCGACATAGCTTTTGATGCGACTTTTTGAGGACTCTAAAAAACCTGACCGGTTGCACTGCTCTAAGCCGTCTTCGCTTCCAGCCAACGAAGCTTCCAGCTCAGCCAACTCCACCTCGGCTTTAGCCTTCAGGAGTTGTTTTTTATGGTTAGTTTTCATCGCCTCCGACTCAAGCTCGAGTTCCTCTTTAAGTTGTCTCTCTTTAAGCTGTGCTAACAATAAAGCAGCTTTGGACCCCGAATTCCCCAAACTAATCTTAGAAGCTATACTAGCCCTAGAGCTCATCGCTGAAAACGAACCGTGTCCGACTTGCCTGACTTTCTTCTCAAATTCTTCTTCTCGTTTTGAATTGACCGACATTGACCTGGTGATTGGCATCCAGAGAACCACGCTTGTCAACGTTGAGTACTGTAACGACCGTTTCGAATTCTTGAGCAACGAGCACCAAGGTTAGCAACCAAACCGGCAAAACTCCGAACGAATGGCTACGCAAATGTGCTGTACTATAAAAAATGAAAGTAGTTACACGGAATACAAAATTACAAACCTCAACGGTTTTCGACAAACGGTGAGGTACTCCAAAAGGCAAGCAAAGCCGATATGGATCAACAGTCAACGCGTGAACGAAACCGCGTCTCAAACTCATGAATTAAAACAATATATAGCTGCCCAAGGATTTGGTACAAAAATAGTATAACCAGAGCGGTAAAAACGATTTGCGTGGTAAGAAAAACGGAGAATATAGATATCTTGTAAAACTGAAATAGGGTTCAATTCCACCAGTCCAAAAAAGGGCGGTCCATTTGAATTGTTAACCGGGAAGGCAGTCATTCAAGATTGGAGGCAATTTTAAATATATATGAAGTTGCAACACCGCCGGCCAAAATTCCTCCGACGGTCAGTAAGCGAACAGGTAAGTTATCAGGAGAGCTCTAGCCTACAAGCATGCAACGTTAGCCACCGACCTGAATGGTCCGAGTCCACTCCTGCCACAAAGGCCGGTTTCAACAGTACACGCGCCTACCCACGATGTCACGCTGAACTAGAAACCGGCTGTTCTAATACGTCTATCAAGAAGCATCCCTAAACCTGCGTACCCCCTCGTTAGCCCTCCCCTTCCAGCAAACATAGGGTCCTAACGTCGCGCTTGATGACACCGGATCTAGTGCGGAGGGAAACCGTTCTGACGAGGCCGTTTGTATCCGTTTGACATTCGGTGACAATACCCAGCGGCCACCTTCCTCTAGAGAGATGTTCGGGCACTACCATAACGATGTCACCCTCCCTGAGGTTCCTGTTCCGACTTCACCACTTATGGCGTGACTGCAGCGTTGGAATGTATCCTTTCATCCACCTGTTCCAGAAAACCCGAAAATACTTCACTTGTTTCCAACTTCGGGTGAGCCACTCTTCTAAATCGCAATGCGATGGGATACCTACGTTCGCTTTTAAACGAGTTAACTCATCACTGTATACTTCCGCTTGAACCCGACGGGTAACGACCGCCCGAGATTTGGTCAATTCTTTCACTTGTAGGTGACCTATAAACGGTATGACGCCAAACCTTCCAAGTTTGTGCATGATGTAGTGGATGAAGCGCCTCAACCATGCAACTGATTTCAACAACACAAACCAGCTACACCATCGGGTAAACAAACGCCCGGAAACACTTCGAGTAGAAATAACGTTAATAGTTGCTCGGTCCGCTTTCAGCTCAGCTGACGACAGGCAGCTGGAGGCGACTCCCACACGATTACCTGGACCCAGTAGCCCAAGAATAACCCAACCCAGCGGTGTCTTCACGTCAAATGGCTCTTTTGGACCTCCCAAACCCTGATTTAGCACCCAGTGAGCTTCTGGAACGTCAGAGCCNAGAACCACGCTTGTCAACGTTGAGCACTGCAACGACCGTTCCGAGCGAATGGCTACGCAAACGTGCTGTACTATAAAAAATGAAAGTAGTTACACGGAATACAAAATTGCAAACCTCAACGGTTTTCGACAAACGGTGAGGTACTCCAAAAGGCAAGCAAAGCCGATACGGATTGTAATATGCACGCTATGGAAGCACCAAGAGACAGTGATTCTCCGAAGGCAAGTGTTCACGACAATTTCTGTGGATGGAAAACAGAAAAAAGCTCATGAGCCAAAGCCCAGTAAGCGAGGTTTACATCACCAATACTTACATATGAATCAATCAAACTGACAGACAACGTATACTACATGGATCAACAGTCAACGCGTGAACGAAACCGCGTCTCAAACTCATGAATTAAAACAATATATAGCTGCCCAAGGATTTGGTACAAAAGTAGTATAACCAGAGCGGTAAAAACGATTTGCGTGGTAAGGAAAACGGAGAATATAGATATCTCGTAAAACTGAAATAGGGTTCAATTCCACCAGTGCAAAAAGGGCGGTCCATTTGAATTGTTAACCGGGAAGGCAGTCATTCAAGATTGGAGGCAATTGTAAATATGTATGAATTTGCAACAATATCCTCCCTCCGATGATTATCCACGCTCCACCTAAACCCTAATTCGGAGCATCGTTACACGCTTTCCATGCAAATGTCCGTTCAGCAAGCTCACTGACTCAATCTGGGAACTTAAACAGCAGTTGAGCACCCATTTTTCTGCCCCTTTCGGGTGAATGTGAGCCGCTGAACGAAAAGAAAAAACCGTTCAGAGAAACTTGGTCGTGTGCATCAATCCGTGTGAATTCGCGAAATATTGTTCAGTTTTACTGTGTAGTTGTCTGGCTACCCGAAAACCTACGTTACTGGGAGTGTGTTTCAAGGAGATGAAAATAATAAGGCTAGTTTGAGTAGACAACAATTAAGTGGTGAGATGTAACGGACCCAGTAAGATTGTTCTATTTAACATGGTTCGTCGTTAGCCCAGGTCAGCGAATAAACAATAATCCAATTAACGTTGTCCAGGGCCTTCTCCTGAACAGTTGTCAGTTATACATTTCGAGGAAAATCTGAAAAGTTGTGATACCAGCGTTAGCACACGAGATTCGCGAATGACCTTTGTAAGCGCGAGGGAAATCAGAAGCGAGGGTAGAAGCACGTAAATACGTTTGTATTGCGTGAAATTGTACGAGTGCGCGTTTTTGTAGTTCTTCGTATTTAAACAAAAGATGGTTATGCGATTGACCAATATGCAATGTTATAAAGGAAGCGAAAGGAAGATACAAAACAACACAACTACAAGACTGCAAGCAATAGGCGGGCAACTTCTGCTTACAAGAAAGTCGATCGAAGTGTGCATATCCAGAGGCGAGCCATTCAAACTTACCACACCGCATCAATTTCGTTCATGTCAACAACCTCCCAGACGTTCTTGCGAGTCCATGTTTACTTTTTGCGGACGACTTGAAATCCTGGAGTTCCAATGCCAGCGCCCTCCAAATGGATGTAGACACTGCCAAGCAGTGGTCGTTGGACTGGCACCTTCCTCTGAATGATGAAAAGTGCGTCCATGTGTCGTTTGGAGGGGATTCAGCGAATGCCTTTGTTATGCATGGTGAAAAGGGACCAGAAAACATCATGAGGATAGATGCCAAAAAAGATTTAGGCATCTGGGTCTACTCAAACTTGTCCTTCTCACTGCACCATGAGAAATCGGCCCAAAAGCCATTCGCCATTTTACGGATGATCCGACGCACCTTCTCCCGTATTACTCGCATGGACTTCCAAATACTCTATGGGGCCTACGTCAGACCGCTCCTGGAGTACGCCAACCAAGTTGTCTACTCAGGACGTACGAAAGACGTTACCCTCACTGAGCGTGTCCAGCGGGCCGCCACGAGAATGGTTGCCGGCC